ATTAAATGGAACTATTAAAGACGGAACTATTAAATGGAACTATTAAAGACGGAACTATTTGATGGAACTATTAAAGTTAAAGCTCGAGATCTTGTCAATTTTATAAAAGAATTTCTAACCTAGGCAAATTAGCAAATCAAGTTTAAAGGTTAAAATCGTTGAGCCTTACATTGGTTCAAAATTTCTTGCTATTGGAAGTATTTTTGATAATTTTTTCACACTTTCAAAGGTACATGAATAGGGAAATAAAGTTAAAAAGATCATTGTGCACTGTAAAAATTTGATTGAGTTTTTAATTATGCTCTGTTAGAAAATCAACTAAATCGACTAAAAGTTGTCTAGTCAAAAGTCAAAATTAGTTGCATAAAAAAACAAATAGATTTAATCGACCATAGACTTCCTACTAATTGACTAAAAGTTGATTCAATCAGGTGAAAATCTTAAAATCCTTTTATCTTTTATCTATCTTTTCATTCGATTTAACTTTCCAATCTTTTTTTTTTTGTTTGTTCGTTTTTTTTGTATTGTTTGTAACTAGAGATCTCACGGATAGTGGTTTTGCCGAATACTGAATATTTTGCTAGATGCTTGGCTGAAGTTTCAAATATTCGGCAACGGAACATTTGATAAAACTTTCCTATTTTGAGAGTTCCTACCTGGTTCATTGAGTTGTTTATAGTTGGGATACTTACAAAAGACGTTAAGTCGAAAATTAGCAGTTTTTACTTGATGCAGTATTATAAAATTTACAACACTCTACAAACTAGCAAAATACAAGTCAAATGAAACATCTTTAAAGATGTTTAAATGTATTTTTAACCAGAGAAGAGCTTTTCTCTGGTTATAAAATTAAGTGCAGCGTTAACTCATAAAACATATGTTTAATTTAGTCTAAAAGCTTTCAACTTAAAAAAAAACAAAGCTAAAAATATTTTCTTAAATAAACACTTAACATTATAATCTAAAATTTGTCAACACCAATTTAGCAAGATTCAAATTGAATAAAAGTTTCAAATTGGAAGAAAACTTAAATGATTGATTTCTCTGAGCAAGGATTTTTGAGTTAACATTTTTTGCTAGAATATTTACAATATGCTGTGGGTACTGGCAAAAAACTTTACGCTTTTTACAAAAAACTTAGTTTAATAACTGTTACTTATTTTTTGTTTACTCATAAAGTTTTATCTAATTCATATCATATTAGCATTATTTAGGCTCTTTTTAGTGTTCTGTAATCTGTAATTTTAAGGACTTTTGGGAGCACCTTAATAATTACATAAAAAAAAGGAAATTAATTATGCCTAGTGTTGAAAATTTCTGCAAAATTTCCACAAATTTTTAACCCTAATAATTTGCGGAACAAGTATCAGAACAAACAAACTATTAATATGTTTGTTCTTTATTTCTTCTGTTACTTGTTCCGCAAAATATTATGGTCGAAAATTTCCAGAAATTTTGCGGAAATTTTCAACACTAATTATACCTAATTAAATAATCAGTTATGTATTTCCTAAATTTTTTTCTTCTTTTGTTTACTCAATGTTTTTGATTTTCTTAAATATTTTCAAACAGGGCCGCTTTAAGATGGCTCAAGGCCCTTGGCAAACTAAGTTGTTAAACTCCAAAATCAAAACGTTTTCTATACTATCACATTGTAAATATGATTGTAAAGACCTTGGTATATAGCAAGTCTTTAAGTCAGTCCCCAAATGATATGTTAGAAAACGAAAATAAATTACTTTATTATTTTTATGATAAAAAATATATTCCCATATTTTGACTAAATTGACTTTTAGTAGATTTTTAAAATGTATAAATCGATTTTAGTCGACTAAGAAGAAGCTTTGTTGTGTCATTTGAAATGAAAGTTAACATATTGTATGGCTTATAAAATACAAAAATACAAATATTAAAAAAAGGAAATTCTAAACTTCTTTTTTTTAGTTATAGTATGGACTGTACATGGGTCTTTTAAAGGTAAGTGTTCTAATGTTTTTACATCTATATTGGTTGCACCAAGTTCTTATACATGAAAATTCTACATTTGAAATATAAAATACTGCCAAAAACTCATTTTACTTATAACTGACATAAAAATTTCTAAAATTAAGTTATTTGGAGCCGCATCACAGACAATATCACCATTTTTGGAAGAAATGGTGAACTTGTCTATGATGTCGATTTTGGAAAAAATATTTAGGAAAGTTAACATACTGTGTAGTCTTCAGTCACACTCATCAACACATCCATATACATGGTGCACAGCTAGCTCAAATAGTCTAGCTGAATATGAAACATTGCAAATATTTAGTTCTCTTAAGGCATCTTTCAATGCTTTTGTATTTTTAGGGGGTGATGTTAGATTAGCCAGGAATTATAATAATGTCACCCACAAACCAATCTTTGGATGATTCAGATCTAGTTATTGATTTGATCTCAATAGATCTCCACGATTTGGTTGGACTTCTCGAAAGTGTGTAGCCTTTCATAGATGACTGGACAAAAGCATTGCACATCATCCAACAGCCCTATCATGGTGAAATTTGAAGGTTCCAGAAAACATTTAAAAAATGTTGACTTATAGACTTAACAACTAAAAGCAAACAACATTTTATGCTTTTCTAATAATTGATACTTTTTAATTTTTGATTGAAACATTTTAATAAAATTTGTGTTTATGATTACTATAAATAAAAAATTAAGATAAGCTGTCATTTTTCTTATTGATGTTATAGCTATGAAATTAAAAATTAATGGATATTGGGGAAGTGGGGGCATAACCGCCTCGTAACGTTTGGATTAATGTTATATGAAAATAAAAACGAAATGTGTTTCTTTTAACAGTTTATTTCAATAACCACATTATTAAACTTTAAATTGATGCAATTAAGAAAAAAATTAAATGGTTTTTGAAAATGTTATTACACAAAAATTACACTCAGTAAAAAAAATGGTTTTGTCCCCATTATGAGGCACAACCATACCCTACCAAAAATTGTTGGGGGTACACTTTTCTTGTTACATTTTCTTTACAATTGTCTCAGAACAGATTATTTGTACTTACAGTCTGAGTTTTCTCATTCAATATACTTTTAGCTTTATAATTTAATAAAAAACTCATAAAAATTAAATAAAAAAATACGAAACCTAATTTCCAACATTTCAACACAAAATTATTTCTAATCAGTTTTTACATAAACACATTCAAATGTGATGATTGTAATTATTGTTATTGATAATTACCTTTGTAATCTTTAAAAACTTTAATAAATATTAAAAGTATGCGGTTGTGCCTCCTATGCGTCTATGCAGTTCTGCCCCAGTAGACAGTTTTTAGAAAGAATACAGTTTCATAGCTTGCTTATTAGGTTATGTTGATATCAAAAATTGTTTTCACTTGATGAAATAATGCTGATAACACATATTTTTAACACTAAAATCAAATATTGCTTATTCCTTAAAAGGAAGGTCTCAAAAATATAATGTAAGTATAATATTTTTATCAAATCAAACATTATTATGCACAACTTCTCAGAAACGCAACATACATATACACAACTTCTCAGAACACTTTTTGACATATGTGTAATCAAAGAAACTGTTTTACCTATGCATGGTATTGTTTTTGCTATACATTTTTCAAAGGGAAATGTTAAAAACGGTTGTGCCTTCATATGCTTTCAAAGTTTGCGCTTTCATACTTTTGATACCAAATGCCACTTTTCTTTTTTCCAGGTTAGCTAAGTCAAGTTACAATATTTTTTTGACAGGAATGTAAAATCATTCTTTTAAAAATGGCATAACAACAGAAAGTCTATCTTTTTTCTACATGATAAAAAAATTATCTAGTTTAGTTTAGATATAAAAATTTATTTAAAATATTTGTTACACACTTATTTGCATATTGTTAAATTGTTTATATGCTTCATATTATATAAATCATTCATATTATATAAATCATTCATGTTATATAAATCATTTCATAAGTGTTGATGCTAATCCTAACATTTCATATTTGCTGATGCAAATCTGATTTTGCAGCAAGTGTCAAAAATAAAAATGTGACAAAACGTAAAAGTTATAATAAAATGAAGTACAAAATATGTCAGTTATTTGTCTGCACTCCCTTCCTTTTTTCACCTAATTTGTCTGTGCTTCCTCTGCCTTTTTTGCCAAATTTTGTTTTGCTTATGTCATAGTGAAATAAAACAAAAATGAAACAAAAATGATAGAATTTATGAATGAAAGTAGAATTTAAAAGAAAATAAACAAAATAAAATATTTTTAACCCTTTAGAGCCCCATGTAGCAAACCTGCTACAAATGTTTGGCCAGTCTGATGTTTGAGTGTCATGTTCTTGTAAAAAATGCCTGTTGTTACACATTTGCACTTACATTATTGTAATTATTTTGGATATTTTTTGGCTCTGTTTAAGACAAAAACACTTTTCTATCTTTTAAATCTTACTTTTAAAAAATCTGTGATGTGATGTGGCTCCAAATTTTAGAAATTTTTATGTCAGTTATAAGTAAAATGAGTTTTTAATATTTCAAATGTAGGATTTTCATGTATAAGAACCTGGTGCAACCAATAGAGATGTAAAAACATTTGAACACTTCTCCTTACCTTTAAAAGTACGAGTAAACATTTCTCCCATTTATAGTCCATTTACTATAACTAAAATAAAGCAGTTTAGAATTTTCTTTTTTTAATATTTGTATTTTTTTTTTTTATAAGTCAAAACATATTATTACTTAGTTAATAATTATTTTTTATAAAATCATCATGTGGAAATTAACCTCATGTGGAAGATAACTTCATGTGGAAATAACCTCATGTGAAATTAACCTCGCTTGGGCTCTCAAGGATTAAAGAAGAAAATGAATGAAAAATAAAGAAAATAATAAAAATATAAACAAATTTTTATTTTTCTTTGAGTTATTTATAAATTTTTTAATTTATATTTGTATTATTTAAGTTTTTTTCTATATAATTTGTAGGTTCAATGTGTTAATCATGTTGATGAAGATTTCTTTTCAGAAGTAAGTTTTTGTTTTAAGTAATAAGTTTATTTTTTTCAATAATTTAACAGACTCTGAATAATTCAAATTAAATTTAAAAAATTTTTTTTTTTTTTTTTTATAAGTTTTTCATTTTCACAATATGCTCTTTTATATTTGTAAAAAATGGTTTTTATTTTCACACTTATTATTATCATTTTGTGTAATTATTGTGTAAGAACTGTATACATTATATGTCAATGTATTTATTTTAAACTAGAAAACTCCTGGTTTTGGTTTTAAAGCACCCACTTCGTTGTTACCAAATGTTAACAATGGACAGTATCTTGCTGTAAATAAACCCTGGAAGAAACACGGAAACAAAAATAAAAAAGAAAAGCTCCGAAGAATTCATGATAAGTGAAACAGAGGAAATAATCTATTATAATAATCAAACATTTAAAAGCGGGAAAGAATTAATAAAAACAACAATTAACTTTAGTTTCATAGACTTTATGAAATTGAAACTGAAATTGTATTTTTATAATGAAAACCATAAAATTAATTAATGTTGTTAGTTTCTTATTTTTTTGGATGGCCAAGTGTTTTCTTCTATGCAGGCTGTATTATTATATAGTTGAGATAAAGTGCATTGAAAATTTATGTAGGGGAGAACTATTAGTAAGTTTTTGTATGTATTTATATACTTTTTTTTTTTTGAGATTTTTTAAAAGAAACACCAAATTTTACTAAATTCTTTTTTTTTTTTTTTTGATTGGTTTTTATTATAAACTTTAAAGTTTTATTTAAATAGCTTTGATAGTATTTTTTTTAAATGCCTGCCATGTTTTTTCATTAAATGATAGAAAAAATGTGGTGTTTTCTTTTTTTTAATTCTTATATCACAGAAAAAAGTATTATATACTAATTCAAGAAAATAATTAGCAGCAACAAACACTATGAAATGTTAAGTTATATTTATTTGCTCACTTATCTGTTTACTATTATTCACTTCTCCAAGACCGAGAGGAATACTACAGTAAAGTTACTTTTTGTGATTACAACTTTTTTGTGGTTACAACCCTCTCAACATCTGTAACTCCAAAACTCAAACCTTGACAAACAAGGCTTATGCACAGAGAAACAAGTTAAACCCAGTATTACCAGGGACATGTGGGGATGAAGCAAGTACTTTACCACATTAAGCACTGATAATTTTTATTATCATAGAATGATATGTATTTTTTTTTTCATATTTTGAATATATTATTTCTACTATAATTTTTTTGTTTTCTTTTACTTTTAAGTTAAAATATTAAGTTGAAGTATCATGATAAATATTACATAGTAGATGGTAAACCTATTTTTCAAGTTTAATAATTTTTTTATATTGTTAAAAGTTTAAAGTTTCTTTAAACTTTTCTTAGAACAAAGTTCTACAATTTTATTAAATTTATTCAAATCAAACAGTTTTATTAAATCTATTTTCTCAGGGTGTGGAGAGGAGAATTTTCCAGAAAAAAAGTACTGAGGTAAATGTGGGAAGGTAAAATGTTTTTACACCTGTTAATCATTTAACATTATTGTTATTTACATTAAATTAATGTTTATGAATGCTTGGTAATAATATTCAGCTTCTAAAAATTTAATTGTTATTATGAGTTATGAAAGAGGAAGTTATCCATTTTATTTTTTTTATATTGTATATTGAAAATTTCAATAATAAAAATATGTATATTGTATGTTAAAACATTTTTCAAGACTTTTAGTGATTGACTAAGAATTTCTGTGAAAAAATTTAGTAATCATTTGAATAACTTAATTATTAAAAATTCAGAAACTATGCAATAACCTTTTTTAAAAATTTTTGAATACCAAAACCAAATAACCAAGCGCCAAAAGATTTTTTTTTTGTTTTATCATTAACTATTAGGACATGCAAAAATTTGATTGAATTTTCTTTCTATTATTTATTATTTAATACTATTTATTAATAATGTACATATGTTCTTGATATACATATATATTTAAATATATGTATTTAAATATTTTTTGCTAACATTGATTATATACTATATATATATATATATATATATATATATATATATATATATATATATATATATATATATATATATATATATATATATATATATATATATATATATATATATATATATATATATATATATTTGTTGTTTTAAACAGATTCAGCGCAAGTTTTTAAAAATGGTTGAAATCGGTGAGTTCACATTTATTAACATTAAAAACTTTTAATTTTTAATTTAATTCAAAAAGCTTCAAAAAAAAAGTGGTACATGAATTGAGTTTTTAACTACCTTTTTGATAAAAAAAATTGTTTTTGTTTTTTGATGTTGTTTTTAAATGAATTAAATTAAATGTATTTGTTTTGAAGTTTTATTTTTGTTTCTATACAATTTAGGAGAAAATTTTGGTTTGATAAAAGTCATTGAGTTATCTGATTTAAGTATTTTTAGCAATTCAATAGGTGAGTTTAAATTAATTTGAATTATTCAAGTTAAAATAGAATATTATAAAAAATAATTTAATATAAAAATAATTAATAATTTAATTTATTAAATTAGATGTTTAACAACTGGTTTAATTTAAATTTCATTTATTAGAAATGTGTGTTTTATTTTAGCTGTTAAAAGACAGTTTTTTACATGATAATACATTTGTGATTTCTCAAACTATTAAAAACATGTATGATATCTTATTGTGTTAAAAATATGTGAATCTGGTCTGAAAAGTGATCAGTCACAAAATTTGACAAACTGAGTTATTAATGATTTTGAGGTTTAAAACTTGTATTTATGCAAAAAATAATTTTTTTATTATTTTGAATTAAATTAAAAATTAAAAGTTTTTTATGTTAATAAATGTGAACTCGCCGATTTCAACCATTTTTAAAAACTTGCACTTAATCTGTTTAAAACAACAAATATATATATATATATATATGTTTATATATATATATATATTTATATATATATATATATATATATATATATATATATATATATATATATATATATACATATATATATATATATATATATATATATATATATATATATATATATAAATATATATATATATATATATATATATATATATATATATATATATATATATATATGTATATATATATATATATATATATATATACATATATATATATATATATATATATATATATATATATATATATATATATATATATATATATATATATATATATATATATATATATATATATATATATATATATATATATATATATATATATATATATATATATATATATATATATATATATATTTGTTGTTTTAAACAGATTCAGCGCAAGTTTTTAAAAATGGTTGAAATCAGCGAGTTCACATTTATTAACATTAAAAACTTTTAATTTTTAATTTAATTCAAAATAATAAAAAAAATATTTAAAAGCTTTAAAAAAAAAAGTAGTACATGAATTGAGTTTTTAACTACTTTTTTGATAAAAAAAAATGTTTTTGTTTTTTGATGTTGTTTTAAAATGAATTAAATTAAATGTATTTGTTTTGAAGTTTTATTTTTGTTTCTATACAATTTAGGAGAAAATTTTGGTTTGACTAAAGTCATTGAGTTATCTGATTTAAGTATTTTTAGCAATTCAATAGGTGAGTTTAAATTAATTTGAATTATTCAAGTTAAAATAGAATATTATAAAAAATAATTTAATATAAAAATAATTAATAATTTAATTTATTAAATTAAATGTTTAACAACTGGTTTAATTTAAATTTCATTTGTTAGAAATGTGTTTTTTATTTTATCTGTTAAAAACATGTGATATCACAATTGTTAGTTATGTGTGTTTTATTTTAGCTGTTAAAAGACAGTTTTTCATATGCTAATACATTTGTGATTTCTCAAACTATTAAAAACATGTATGATATCTTATTGTGTTAAAAATATGTGAATCTGGTCTGAAAAGTGATCAGTCACAAAATTTGACAAATTGAGTTATTAATGATTTTGAGGTTTAAAGCTTGTATTTATGCAAAAAAATAGAGACATCTATTTTTGAAACCCAATTAATAACTTAATTTTAACAGTTATGATAACACACCAGTTTTTAATGCATTAAAAGTGGTGTGCTATCATAACTGTAAAAATAGTATCTCTGTTCAAAACATGAGTGATATCTCTGCTGTTACAAGCATACATGGTATCTCTGTTCAAAACATGAGTAATATCTCTACTGCTACAAACATCTCAAATATTAAAAATGTGTGTTATATTTTAACTGTTAAAATAAAATGATTGTTTTTAGGCAATTTCTATATTATTATTATGCATTTGTTTATTAAGTACTTTAGAATTGTTTGTTTAAATGTTCTCTTTTGTTGTTTTTTTTAATTAGGAAAGTTTCGTTTGATGAAAGTTATTGAACTATCAGATTGTTTTTGTAGCTCAGCAAGTATGTACTCATCAAGTATGTACTCAGCAGGTGAGTTGAAATTAAAAATTTAATTCACTGAAATCAAAATTTAATGCTGTAAAAAATAATTTTAACTTTTAAGTTAACATAAAAGAATTAGAAATATTAAACTCAATAATAGTTTTGTATATTTATAAATTATTGGGAAAGTTAAAATGTTTTTACTAAAATATTTATAAACAATTTTCAAATTTTAGGATTTTAAAACATTTATAGTATGGAGCTTAACTATAGTGTGGAGATACCTATAGTGTGGAGATATCTATAGCTGCGCTTTAATTATGAGATAATTTTTATACTTTTTTTTCCTACAGATATAACAGATGACACGTTTTTATCTCAAGATAAAATTTTTGAACACTCAAAACATAAAAAAGAAAACAAGTATTCTGCTAGAGAGTACGTAGCTTATTAGTATTCTGATGTTATTAACAAGTATTATGCTCTTATAGCATTTTGTTGTTATACTTTATTATTGTTTAATTTTGCATTA